CCGAGTCCATAGTATCGGACCGTGATCCGCGTTTTACGTCGGGTTTTTGGTGACATGTGTTTGAGCTGCTGGGTGGCAAGCTCCACATGTCAACCGCTGATCATCCCTAGACCGACGGCAAAACAGAACGTGGCAATCGAGTTGTGGGGGATGTGTTGCGTACAGTAGAGACTCCCAAAAAGAATGGAGCAAGCAATTGCCATTCGTGGAGCTCAATATTCAATACAGTGTTCACGCCAGTGCGAGTGAAACACCGTTTTATATATCAACGGACTGCGTCATCCTCGAATGCCAGTCTCCTTTGTACGCAGCTCAAGTATTAGTGGGGGATGGCCCCTCACTTCGCTTGGTGCGAATGCCAAAGAGGGCCAAGAATGCCCTAGCGACACTGCTAATTTAGCAGTGGTCACGTCACCTATGGGTGTCAATGAGAAGTCACGGCAAGAAATGCCAGTGCTCCTTGACGGTAGCACTATAGTGTTATCAGCAGCTTCGACCCATGACCGACCTCTTGGGGGTGTCACAGGCAAGCTGCATGCTAAAAGTGTGAGCGAAGATCAGCGCTTTGTGGATGAGCGATTAGCGATTAGCCATCGCACGTAAAGTTGGTGACGCGATGGCAAGCGCACAGGACAAGCAAAAACAATATGCGGACCAGCATGGTCGCAAAAACAATGAACACTTTAGTGTGGGGGACAAAGTGCTATTAAGTAGTGCTATTAAGTAGTGCTACTCTACCTAAACATGCCATTTATGTACTACCTGGTGGTACTACTATGCTATTGCCCCGATTCATTGGGCTATTTACGGTGGTCGAGGGGTTGGAGACCAAAAATATAGGCTCACTCTCCCACCGTATATGAAGACGCACCCCGTATTTTACGTGGGTCTTCTGAAACGGTATGTGGATCCACAAGAGATCACATATCCACATCAGTCTCACGAGACCGATGGTGATGTCGACTGTGGGTCGAGCGTCGTGGCCGATGAGACGACGAGGAAGCCGATAGGCTTACCGTATACGAACGAGGGCTCGGTAGAGGACTCGGTGAACGAGGAGGACTCCGCTCTTGACGCGGGTCTTTCATCACCAGTCGCTCTAAGATGTTCAAACGGGCCTTCAGGCGGTCATAACCCTGACGGTCCTTCGCCCTCACATCGCGCAGATACGAGGTCAGTCGCGAGACTTGACCCTCGAGATCTGCCACCTGCCTCTTCAGCGCAGCGGACTCAGCCTGCGACTGAACAGCAGCAGGGTAGGCAGACGCGAGTAGGTGGGCGTAATCGCCGCTCCTATCGGTCGCCACCTGTGTTGGTGGACACGGAAGGGAATACGCATTTCCTTGTTGGAAGGCTGTTGGCCCACCGGTTTGTGAAGCGAAAGCTCCAAATCCTTGTCTAGTGGAAGGGTTACCCAACGAGCTTTGACTCGTGGGAGCCACCCATCCAATTTCATCCACTCAGATGGAGGTGGCATTGGTGGCAAGCCACCACTCACCTAGCCGCCCTTGCGACGGCGTGCTAGTGAGGCGGACTGTGAAGCAGCACGAAGGGGATAGGGAAAGCACAACCTAACGCTTTTCCAGGTCTTTTCTATGATGTAAATGCGCTAAGAATTTATTAGCGTCGCTCTTTAAGCGTAGCATTAATTTTACTCGAGTGTGACCACTCGGATGGCGGTGCTATTGGTGGCAAGCCACCACTCACTTAGCGGCTCTTGCGACGACGTGCTAGTGAGACGGACTATAAAGTTGAAGGGGCTTTTTGCTCAACCTTGCCTGAGTCTGAATCTCCATTATGGATTGTCAAGACGTCAGACGTAGGGTTAACGTGGTGAAGTGCTTGTTTTGAGATATGGAGACCCCATAATTAAGTTGGATTCGGAGTATAGACCGTGTATCAGGGAAAAGAGACCAGAGAGACAGGGGCCTCGAGGGGAAGCGACCGTTGGCGGAGAACAATCTGCAGGACCCACAGAAGAAAAATCAGTATCAGGGTACTGGTTAACCGTTACCGAGGGGAGTTGGCCATGGCTTTTCATTGATCGACCCGGCCACTCGTTGTTAGACCTGGGTCTCTCATTGGTCGAACCGGTCCCTCGTTGGTAGCCTGGGTCCCTCATTGGTCTACCCGGTCCATCGCTGGTAGATCATCGGTCGACCCGGTCCATCGCTGGTAGACCTGGTTCCCTCACTGGTCTACCCGGTCTCTCGTTTGTAGACCTGGATCCCTCACCGGTCGACCTGGATCCCTCACTGGTCGACCCGGACCCTCATTGGTCGACCCGGTTTCTCGTTGGTCGACCTCGGCCCTCGGGGTTCATCCACTTCTAACCAGTTAGCACAAGGATCAGACCAGTAGACGCAAGGAATCAGACCTTCAGGCAAGGATGGAGTAAAGGAGTTAAAAGGATAGGACTATATTAAATACTACTCAATTTGCGACCTACGTGGCACGACTCCGTCACCCAGAAGAACTTGCTCTAAGCTACCACCTGTTCTAGGAAGGGATATATTTTGGCCCCCCGTTGAAGACAGTTCCGTGGTTAAGTTCAAGTGCGAATAGAGCTCCAAGATATATTTGGCCTGTGAGCTCGTTCGAGCCCAAGACCCGCTATCGGAAGCGGTCTCCCTTAACTCACGGTCCGGGAGCAAAGTAACGGTCAGGTGATTAATATCCCTGAAATACGAAGGAATAGGCCAGTGATGAGCTCCCTGAAGAATTTGGCTCTAAGCCCTCTCTCGACAAGGTTGATCGAGTGGCCACCTACCGGCCCACTGAGTGAAGCATATCCACTCGAAGCCCCCCCCCAGGTCTACCTCCCTCAAGGCAGACGTCTACATCCTCACCAAGTCTTCCGAAGAGTGCGACCCGCCAGCCGACGGGTACACAAGGTGAGAAGAAGGTCCATACGCGGCATCGGGGTACCCCCTCCGAAAGTCGTCAGTCCAGTACAGTGAGTGTTTTGGGGTATCATCATACAGTTTTGAGAGCCCTCTCCACCACTTCAGCCCTACTTAACGTCGATCATTGCAATGTGAATACGCTTGAATATATCCATACTAAAAGGTAGGTCACGTGATGTTCCTCACCAAAGTAGCAGGTCTAGCTGCACACCTTCCCGTTAAGTACTACGTAGCAACAGGTACGTGTATATAGCCCATAACAATATTCATGTAGAGAGGGCTCAAGTTGCGCTCTCTACTTCGTATTGTGTCGCACTAGAGATGTCCTCCAGTGTGACGACAAAAAAGTGGTCAAGTGTGAGAATCAAAATCTTCAAGATTGGGAGGCATGACGGATCGTGAAACCCCGCTTTGTTGCTATTATCAACCAAACGCAGCGTGCTTTAAATCAGCGCCACGTCCTCGCTTGCAAAACCCGCCAGCTCGTCGTCCTGGAGCTTGCCAGATATGGTAAAACACCTCAAGAAATCGAGCAGATCGAGACGAGCATGTTTGATGATCCTGCTGGCTCAGCAGTAGCTTTTCCAGTCGCTAAGGAGTAGACATAGTTATGAACTGATTTCTCTTTGTCCACTCTTCATCTGCGCCACGATACTCGTCGCGGCACTGCAACTTGTTTGCTTACACTTGGAAACGCTGCGTTTTTTCCAAGCTCGCTGTGTGGAGTTGGTTGAGATCCTGTCGCCAAAACGATGCAGAGAAAACAAGTCAGTTGGCATCGTAGTATGCAACTAATACATTCTCCTTTAATTGAACACTGCTTGACCAATCCTTCCAAGGCTGCCATATTTTGCCAACCATCGCCATTAGAAGCGGGAAGTTTGGATTTTGTTATGTAGCATGCTTGTCAAACATTTTGTTAATGTAACCTCAACATCAGTTTCACTAGGGAACGCACACATCACGCCACCTTATTGTGACCGAGACAACATACGCATTTGGCAATTGGCGGAGACATTTGTATTGCGTCTACCATGCCGATTTCTAGTACCCTGCTTCTCTGTGACAAAAGCAGTCAAGTAGGTCGCAAAATCATTCTATGTGGAGGTGTATTTAGTGTTTAGCTGTTACACAGAAACGTTTGATGTTTATCGTTCCTTGGCGCCTTCAAATTCTCTTAGCACACGAAGAATTCACGACAGCGCTTCGGTGACGTCGTCAATTGTGATATTTTCCTTTACCTCCGCTGTAGCAATACCACTTTGCAAAAAATTAAGCAACATTCATACGAAATATAAGTCAAAGTATATCATTAGAAGCCAATGTTATGATCATCTAATTATTTGAATATAGACATTGTGTCGATTTAAAGCCCTCATGGTGCCTTGGGTAAGTACCGACCTGCATCGTTTGTGGCGCCGGTTCAAATTACCCTTCGACCAACCCAAGGTCCAAAAATATGTGTCACACAATAACCTCGCTAATACTCCCCGAAAGGCCTTCTGAAGAAGCAAGAAAGCCCAATACATAATAATTGGGGCTTTTCGGACTGGTTGGCACCCACAGTATCCGGCAAAAACACTTTCCGTGATACGATAGCCATGGGTCCCTGACTCTGCCAAAAAAGACAGTGACAGATCGTAAAAAGGTCTTGATAAATCGGCTAGATCATAAAAAAATGACATTGTTTCGATGTAGATAGCGCAGAATAATGCTGACATTGTGGAAAATGTAATGAAGTATATGAACTGCGTTAATGAATCAAAAGACGAGCTTACTAGCAGAACACCGTGACGAGCATTTATGACTGGAAAAATACTAATATACTACCATTTTCAGTCATTATTATTAAGTCGGCTCTTCTCCTTCTTCCGTACTGCTGCATGGTCATGATAACCATCACACCAGCACATAAGCCCGAATATCAGCCTATTAAACCATTTCAGCAGCTATACATACCCATCGTCCAAAACTTTTTCTGGCCTCTAATCCTCGTGATGAAAAGTGATGTGGCAAAATGTACTTGGGCATCGATCATTTGATCTAACCTTTCATCCAGTGATCTCTTTTTGCTCTACTTGCGCTACTAAAGGAATGAGCGGACTGGAGAGCAAAGTGACGTCGCTAGAAGAGACGACAGAGGCCTCAGAGGTGCGTGTCAATACGCTAGAAACAAAGATTGCTTCACTGTCTCTTTTCTCCGTTGAAATGTGGCCCGCCGTGCGGATCCGCAAGACGTTCGTAGACTTTTTCAAGTCACAGCAGAAACTTCCCCATACATTCTACAAGTCATGTCCCGTCGTGCCATTGGACGACCCGACGTTGCTGTTTATTAATGCGGGTATGAACCAGTACAAACCCATTTTCCTGGGCCAAGTGGACCCGTCACATCCCATGGCAAAGCTCGAACGTGCTTGCAACTCGCATAAATGCATTCGTGCTGGTGAGAAACACAACGATCTGGATGACGTGGGCAAGGACGTGTATCATCATACATTCTTTGAGATGCTGGGCAACTGGAGCTTTGGTAACTATTTAAAGAAGGAGACAGTGCACATACGATATAATCTCTTGACGGAAGCTTATGGTGTTGTGGTGCTGTGAATTCTCTAAATTGTATGATGATACCCCAAACCACTCACTGTACTGGACTGACGACTTTCGGAGGGGGTACCCCGATGCCGCGTATGTACCTTCTTCTCACCTTGTGTACCCGTCGGCTGGCGGGTCGCACTCTTCGGAAGACTTGGTACGTCTGCCTTGAGGGAGGTAGACCTGGGGGGGGGGGGGCTTCGAGTGGATATGCTTCACTCGGTGGGCCGGTAGGTGGCCACTCGATCAACCTTGTCGAGAGAGGGCTTAGAGCCAAATTCTTCAGGGAGCTCATCGCTGGCCTATTCCTTCGTATTTCAGGGATATTAATCACCTGACCGTTACTTTGCTCCCGGACCGTGAGTTAAGGGAGACCGCTTCCGATAGCGGGTCTTGGGCTCGAACGAGCTCACAGGCCAAATATATCTTGGAGCTCTATTCGCACTTGAACTTAACCACGGAACTGTCTTCAACGGGGGGCCAAAATATATCCCTTCCTAGAACAGGTGGTAGCTTAGAGCAAGTTCTTCTGGGTGACGGAGTCGTGCCACGTAGGTCGCAAATTGAGTAGTATTTAATATAGTCCTATCCTTTTAACTCCTTTACTCCATCCTTGCCTGAAGGTCTGATTCCTTGCGTCTACTGGTCTGATCCTTGTGCTAACTGGTTAGAAGTGGATGAACCCCGAGGGCCGAGGTCGACCAACGAGAAACCGGGTCGACCAATGAGGGTCCGGGTCGACCAGTGAGGGATCCAGGTCGACCGGTGAGGGATCCAGGTCTACAAACGAGAGACCGGGTAGACAAGTGAGGGAACCAGGTCTAACAGCGATGGACCGGGTCGACCGATGATCTACCAGCGATGGACCGGGTAGACCAATGAGGGACCCAGGCTACCAACGAGGGACCGGTTCGACCAATGAGAGACCCAGGTCTACCAACGAGTGGCCGGGTCGATCAATGAAAAGCCATGGCCAACTCCCCTCGGTAACGGTTAACCAGTACCCTGATACTGATTTTTCTTCTGTGGGTCCTGCAGATTGTTCTCCGCCAACGGTCGCTTCCCCTCGAGGCCCCTGTCTCTCTGGTCTCTTTTCCCTGATACACGGTCTATACTCCGAATCCAACTGGATTATGGGGTCTCCATATCTCAAAACAAGCACTTCACCACAGCCGCCCCCAGCACTTTCTCAGCCGTACAGCGGTTTGAGCACGCGCATTTCTTCACTTCCTTCGTCACGTGATTCCTTTACTTTGCCCTTTGTTGGTCGTCCATCTCTAACTTGTGTCGTTTCAGCCATGTATTCCCCTGGTTCTGACCCACTGTCTGCTGACCCACCGTCTGAATAGCCGACCTCGATCGTCCCCGCGCCTTTGATTGACCTCCATCCGAAGAAGAGTCTTGTTCGACCTTCCCGGGCCAGTTTCCTCACCTTTGAGTTCCGCTGAAACTGTCGCCGTTGATAGCCCTCCTGTCTTCGCCGCTTTTCCTCCTTCCAAGTCGGCCGATACTTCCGCCACTTCGGTCTCCATGGCCGACAATCCATCTTTCGCGCCAGTCGACGTGCGCGTAGCTCTACAAGAGCTGCATGTTAACGTGGACGCGCAATCTCGCCGCATAGAGGACTGCGAGGGTCGGCTAAGTGTCGTCCCCCCTTTTACCACCTTATTGTCCATCCCGTGCGAGCACCTGGAAGAGGCGCTACGCGACAACTTCCGGCTGGTAGTTCAACTCCGCGAAGCACTTCAGCGCGAGACGGCACTGGCGGACCTCCTACGATGGAAGATCGGCAACAGTCGAAGCCGTTAGTCTCTTCTTCCAGCAGAGCTCGACCACGCCGACTTCTCCGATGGGCCTCCTCCGGGACCGACTCCTTCTTCGGCGGTCTCGCCCTCGGCCGTATGTCCACCTTCGAAGCCGGCGAAATCTCTCGGTTAACGGTCCAGGCGGAAGTCGTCCCGCGTGCCTGCCAAATTTACCAAGTCTCTGAGATCCGACACATCCGCGATGCCGCTGTCGGGAGTCTCTGGCAGCCGCTCTCCTGTCATGCTGGAGTCTTCGGAAGACGACCTCAGCGACGACAGCGAGACGCTTCGGGCGGCCCTGGCCAAGTCTCGCTCCTCTGGTCGACGCCCCACTAGTACAAGCTCTTCAAGTCTTCCGTCGACGTCTACTACCTCACCTCGGCTTCCGGTCTCTCGCTGAAACGAGCGATGTTCGAGACTTCTGACTCGGAGACTGAGTCGTCCACGGGGAAGGAAAAGGACGCGCCCACGGTTGCGGACAACAATTCACCCCTTCCGACCGACTCTTGCTAGCTCCCCAAGGATGCCATCATCCCTGGGTACATGCAGTTGAAGACCTTCTCTGCCGCGGAGGTGGCGCCTTGACCGGTCGACCTTGTCAAGTTCGGTGCATTGTGACAATGTCTCCAAAAGATTTGGTCGATCAGTTGGATCTACCTTGGGGTGGTTCGGTCCACCGGACGGAAACCTCGACCGCCCTCCCAAGTGGAAGAAGTCACTGGTGAACTCCCCGATGATCCAGAAACTGCTGGCTGCTGAACCTTGGGTAGAAGACCGTGTTCCGATTCCGCCCGTTTCCTTCCGACCTGTCGACTGATTCGCTCAGTTAGCGGCGGTCTACACACGGTTTGACGAAGAGCATAGCCAAGCGCTCTGGGAGGCGACCCACTGCCTGTGGATATCCAAGTACCAAGCGCGAGCGAACTCCTTCCTTGCGTCATATTATAACGCGCGGAAGAAGCGTCGGAGTCGGGCGACTCGAGCGTAGCGGGAGGTGACCGACTTTATCTTCGTTGAAATGAGTAAGGGCCGATGCGATCTCGACATTTTCCTGGACCCCTTCTTCCGACATCTTCCTCGAACCCGCCGTGTAGTTTACTGGTACCCTGGTCGTGAGGAGGGTCAGATCCATTCGACCTGATCGAGGCCCTTCAGGTGTCGGATTTCGCGTGGCCGTGGATTACCCAATATCGGTTGTCTTCCGTGCCTCATCCTGGAGCTTTAGTCCCGCGCCTCAAGGGTAAGTTTGGTCCGCCCTCTTGGGTCTCCCTTTGAACACGAACACTCGTTTTCTTCGACCCTATTTTTTGTGCGTCTGTCCATCTTCCATATCCTTTGCCATACTTCCCTCTGTTTCCAGGTGATCTTTTCAGTCTTCCTTCTTCGTTCTTCATTATTCTACAGTGAAAGGTCGAGGTCCTTCCATAGGAGACTCATGTGTACCAATGAGGGACCGAGCCTGCCACTGAGGGACCCGGTCTACCAACGAGGGACCGAGCCTATCACTGAGGAATCAGGTCTACCAATACGATAACAGGTCTACCAATAAGGGACTCAAATCTCCCAATGGGATACCATGGTCTGCCTTCCAGGGATCTTGGTACTCTCCGCTAGTTCTCATGGCTTTGCATTACTTCGAAGCGATTATGGCTTGTCTTCTTACGCTCGAAATCTTGGAGTAGGGCTCCGCAATTTAGATCCTTTTCGTCTACCCACGAAAGGCCAGGGTGTCCTTTCCATTGCACGAGGAATTTTCGTTGTTGCCGTCCATACCGAGTTTTATTACCTGTACGACTCTAAAATTTCTTCGACCTCATACTCGCCTTCCTCCAATTCCCGCACCCAGATGTCTTCTAGTAACAGACATTCGTCGAAGTCAACTCGATCTGCTCTATCCACTTTCAGCTTGCTGCTAGGTCGATCGGGGAACTCTCTGACGGGCTTGAGCTTGGAGATGTGCACGATTGGGAATAGTCTATATTCTGTGCCTCGTAATTCCAAGCGTACTGCATAATCTCCGACTAGTTCCCGAACTCATAGCGGTCCGTGCCAGAGGTGGGCCAATTTCTTGGCATACCCTTCTCTCACCCGTTCTAAGTATAGCCACACCTGAGACACTGGCTGAATTTCGTGGCTGCCTATCCCTTCATTATGCGCTTGCACCCGAGCCTGACTAGCCGCTCGTAGGTTCTCGTTGACTTGGTCTCTTGCTCGCTGATAGTGACTTTAAATCCGATAACTCCATCTCCGAGGTCCTGATTCTCGACTTCGAGTGTTTACCACCAGTAACATAGTCTCTAGAGTGGTCCTATCATCCCATTCATGGACCAGATAGAACGGTGTTTCCTCCCGCACTCTATCTTGAGACGTGTTTAACGCGAACGTTAAACGTTCCGCGTATTCATCCCAGTCTCGATGTACCACGTCGGCTACGTACATCTTGAGCGATCTCGTTAGAGTCTGAAACATTCTCTCCGCAGTGCCGTTCGCTTGAGGTCGGTAGGCCATGGTCGCTCTCTGACGTTGACCCACCATGCGACTGAACGCTCGGAAGAAGTCCGACATAAACCCCGGCTCCCGATCGTGACGGATCGTCTCACTGGCGCCAAAACGGCGGAAAACACATTCTTCATATCCCTCAGCTACTGTCTGGGCTGTCCGCGACGCACTAGCCTTAGCCATCACATAACCTGTGAACAGGTCGACCCAGATCAGTAGTTTCGTATTTTCTTTTACGACTTAAGGAGAGAGGGGATATGTGGTCCATCGCGATGATTTAAAATCACGATAATTTGGAAAGGGTACGTCGTCTCAACATTCACCGGAGACTTCCCTTGTAATGTGGGCCTCCCTTTCCCAGTCTCAAAATCCATGCACTGATCCACATATTTCTGAACGCTCCGAAATAGACCCCTCCAATGACAATATCGTCTGATCCGATGATAGGTACGCCCGATTCCCTGATGGCCGCCTTCTAAACTCGTATGATAGGGATGGAGGACGTCGGCCTGGAGACTCTCGGGTATCACCAATCTGGCAGTTATGTCTCGGTCGTCGACCTCGATTCTCTGGCCAGGGCAGTACACTAGCAGTCCTTCTTCACTTATCTCGTAGCATTTAGGCATTTTGCTGCAATTTCGAGCCGATTCCACAGACAGGTCATTCCAGTCTCCATTCAAATATTCCTACAATATGTGCAATCAGCTC